AAACATAATTTTAATTGAATATTAATACTTTTATTTTTTTTTTTACGAGAGTAAGAATTTAAATTTAAGTGATATATTTTTATTAAAAAATTTATGTTATTATAAATATATATATCTATCCTTTTATTAGATCACACTATAGAACAAGATTTCTTGCAGTTTAAGCCATGTATATGATTTTCATGTCTCATTATTTCGGTTATGCCTCTCGCTGTTGAGATTGAAAAATTCTACGATATATACCTAACATGAGGTGATGATCTTTTAAAAAATTTATATGTAATTATAGGTGTAAATAAATATTTTTCAAAAAAATTAAGCTGATCCATATAAATCAAGATGTTTCTTCTGTACGTATGTTACCTCTTGCATCACCACTCACCACCGGCTATGTAGATATACATATTGTTTGTTCCTAAACCTTCGTTATATATATTATATATGTTTCTTGACGAAGTTAATTTGATCCTTAAATAGTCCAAAACCTCCCTTTTTTATCAATAAGACACGCCATGGATACCCAAGATCACAACCAGAAGCTTCACTTTGTCTTGTTCCCCTTCATGGCTCAAGGCCACATGATCCCCATGATTGACCTGGCTAGACTCTTAGCTCAACTGGGTGCATTCATCACCATCGTTACAACCCCTCTCAATGCTTCAAGATTAGAACCAGTCATCTCCCGAGCTGTAAGATCTTGTCTCAAAATCAATCTGGTCCAGCTCCCGTTTCCATGCGCAGAGGCAGGACTACCAGAAGGACTCGAGAACTTGGATACCTTGGAGTCAAATAACTTATTTCCGAATTTCTTCAGAGCAGTTGACTTGCTTGAAGAACCCGTTCATGAATTGTTCGAGAAGCTAACACCGCCACCTTGCTGCATCATATCTGATTTTCTAATTGGATATACCAGCGATATTGCCGACAAGTTCAGAGTACCAAGAATTGTGTTTCGTCCAGTGAGTTGCTTTTTTCTGATGTGCATGCACGATTTCCTCGTCAGCAAAATCCATGAAACCGTGAAATCTGAGTCGGAGTATTTTGTTCTGACAAACTTGCCTGATAAAGTGGAACTTACTAAAGCTCAGTTACCATTCTTCAAGGACGAGGACTTCATGGAGACGATGAAGAAAATAGGAGCAAAAGCAACTGCAGCATATGGGGAGATTATAAATACTTTTGAAGAGCTAGAACCGGAGTATACCAGAGAATACAGAAAGGCACGAGGGGAAAAAATCTGGTGCGTCGGGCCTCTTTCGCTCTGTAACAAGAATGAATTGGACAAGGCAGAAAGAGGGAAGAAAAGTACAGTCGACCCACACCAATGGTTGACATGGCTTGACGCTCAGGAACCAAGTTCTGTAATCTACGTTTGTCTAGGAAGCCTAAGTACTCTACCGCCTGAACAGATAATGGAACTGGGACTGGGTTTAGAGGCATCAAACAAGCCGTTCATTTGGGTCATAAGAGATTGGAATGGATTAGACGAAGTAGAGAAATTGATTTCAGAAAATGGTTTCGAGGAGAGAATCAAAGGACGAGGTGTTTTGATAAAGGGCTGGGCTCCACAGGTAGTGATTTTGTCGCATTCCGCCATTGCAGGATTCTTAACTCACTGTGGATGGAATTCCACCATTGAAGGTATCAGTGCCGGCGTGCCGCTGATCACCTGGCCACTTTCCTCCGACCAGTTTTGCAATAGCAAACTGGCCGTGCAAGTTCTGAAAATTGGGATATGGGTTGGAGCAGAGAAAGCTCTGGTAATTGGAGAAGAAGAGAAATATGGGGTGTGTGTAAAGAAGGAAGTGATTAAAGATGTGATAGAGAAAGTGATAGATAGAGGTGAGGAAGGAGATGGAAGAAGAGAACGAGCAAAGAAGCTTGCATAAACGGCGAAGAGAAGTGTTGAAGAAGGAGGATCCTCTCAACTTAACATCATTATGTTTATTCAAGATATTATGCAGCAGCAAGCAAGTTGCTGATCAAGATTTATTTGTTTAATCTTAATTATTTTAATTATTTGTTTACGGGTCTGACCCCAAATCCACACCATTTTAATATTTGAGGAAAGAATCTATATTAGAACTTTGAACCTGACTACTGTAAGGAAGAAAAGTATGTTCTTAAAAAGTTACATCCCTATATACAATAATTTTTTTTATTTTTTATTTTTGCATTAGTATCAAACAATTTATACCCTTTTCATGAGAGAGAATACCCAAGAAACATACAATTTTTAATGAAGTATTTTGAACTGGACATAAGAATCATGAAACAAGAAGAAGAAAGGGAAGATTAGTAGTGATATGCTCTGATACTGCATTATTCTTGGAGATAAACTAAAGACAAGAAGTTGTTGATGATACAAACTATATAAGTGAAAAAATATATTGAAAAGAGAAAATATAAAATTCTACTAAATCAAAATGGGATACTAATACATAACAATACATGACTTAATGAAAATTGCCTATTAATTTCCTTCTTCGTAATCTATTATTTATTCTATTTAATTATTATGTAATCGCCTATTAATTTACTATTATTTTATTTTAATTTTTTTATAACTATCCATTTGTAATTTTTTCATAACCGATAATTTATAATTTTATATAAAAAATAAATTGATTTTAACAATCTACCGTTTTAATTTATTTTTTCTGACACGTTCAATTTTTGGTTATGTATGAGTTTTTCTTTGGTTAATGTTTTTGTAAAGATATCACCAATTTAGGTACCTAATTTTGTTGCTTCTCAGCTTTTTCAAAGCTTTGTGGCTCAACTAACAAGAAATTACATGACTCATAAATTTATGTTAGATTTTTTATCTGTCTTGAAGCTAATTCTAAAGTAGTCGACTATTCTCTAATATTTCTAGTAGAACTTGATTTTGAATTAAAAGTTGAACTTGAACTAAACTCACTTTGTTTTAGAGTGTTACCTTGATCATATGGCTCCATCATATGAATGATTGGCTGGCTTAATAAAACAGTAGTTGGTGATAACTATATTTTCTTAACCTTTTTTTTTTTTTCAATTCCAGAAAGTATTCTCAACATGACATCTTTGTTGATTATCAGTTTTTTCTGATCCAAATTGAACATCCTGTATCCTTTTGTACCATCAACTTAGCTAGTAAAAATACATCATTCACTTTTATTAACAAACTTTAATCTATTCTCAATTGGTACATTAGCATATATACACAATCGAAAACCTTCATATGACTAATTACTAGCTTGACACCGATTCATGCTTCAGTTAGAGTTCGATCCGGAACTGATTTTGTTGGATTCCTATTCAAGAAAAAAATTGTTGTATTTACTACTTTCGCCCAAAAAGTGTGGGGCATATTTTTCTCCTTCAGCATTGATCTAGTCATCTTGACAATCATTGGATTCCTTCTTTTAGTGATACCATTTTGTTGAAAAGTATATGTTGTTATCAATTGTTTCCGAATACTGCGTTCTTCACACAAACGATCAAAATTTTTCGAGGTAAACTCATTGCCTCGATTACTTTGTAAAAATTTAATTTTACAATTTCTTTGATTTTTCATCATAACTTTCAATTTCTTGAATGCTTCAAAAGTCTTTGACTTTAACACCTATATCATTCTTGTATAGTCATCAACAAAAATTAGAAAGTATCAGCTTTGAGTTCCTGATGGTGTCTTCATCTTTCCACATATGTCGATGTT